GCTGTGATGGCCTTCTCTGCTAACATCTCAGCAAAGACCTGCTCAGTGGTGCCTCTGCCGTGTCGATAGGCTGCTTGGGAAGCTGGTATGTGGTCGTCTAATTAGTCAGCGATTCTCTTCGTCAAACAAATGGCCATTATTTTCCGGATAATTGTCAGAAGAACGATTGGCCTTATGTTCAATGTGGGTCCCTTTGATTTGCCTGGCTTAGAAAGAGGAACGAGAATACCTTCTTTGATGTCGTCAGGGTAGATGCCAGTACTAGCGGTTTCATTCAGAGTTCTGGCAATTTCTTGAGCAATCATCTCGGGTCCATACTTTAGCAACTCGGCACTGAGATTATCTTTTCCAGCACTTTTGCAATTTTTAAGTGATTTGATCGCCTTTTTGACTTCTATCTTGGTGAAAGGCTTGCTCATCATCCGTGGTGGAAATTCTTCAATTATAGCTTCATCATCCAAGTCAACCTTGCTTTGAAACCAGTTTCTGATGATCTGTTCTTCGGGCCAGCTGTATCGATGACCATGTTACCGCCTTCGTCTGCAACCAAGATCCTATTGGGTTGCCTCTGCTGTATATTTCTGATGGCCTTGAAATACTTTGTACGGTCATCTTTCTGGTTTTCAATTTCTTCAGCTTTTCTGCTCAGTTCTTGTTCATGTATCTCTTTCTTTGTGTTATGGAGTTTGGTGAGAACGCTATTTCTTTCCTTCCTCAGTTCGTTTCTTTTATCCTTGTTTTGTGTCGCCTGAATGGGTTTGAAAGAGACTCTTTTGCTTAGACGACAGTTCAGTGATAACAGGGTGTGTGACTTTAGTAGATTTGCTTACATACCCAAGGGTCTCAGATGCTGCTTGACAGGCATGCTTTCTTAATGTTGTTCCATCGTTTGTTGCTGTCTGTTAAGTCTCTGCCCTCTAGAATGTTCTGACATACAGTGAGTTGATACTTCTGTCGATGCTCGTGATCTTGTAGTTTGGCCAGGTTTATTTTTGTTACTTTGGTATGCCGGGATGTTTTCTTCTTTGGAGACAGCTTGAAAGATGCTTTGACCAACTTGTGGTCTGATGTTAAACTGCATCCTCCATAAGATCTTGAGTCTGTGACATCCTTCCTGCATGTGTTAGGTACTATAATGTAGTCAATTTGGTTATAGTATGGGTTGCGTCGATTTGGATTGTTTGTTTCAGGACAGGGCCACGTAGTTCGATGTCTCAAACTGTGCCTAAACACAGTGTAAGTTAGAAAAAGGTCATATTTTAGACACAGTTCAAGTAGCCTTTCGCCATTACTGTTTAGATGACCTTTTCCAAACTTCCCAATGTTATTTCTGTAACTTCTCCATGCAGAGCCAGTCTTTGCATTGGAATCTTCAGCTATGTGTAAATAAAATATTCGCGGCCCGGCATGCAATATTCGAAATGCGCGCGCAGTACGCTGTGAATAGCCAATCAACGTCATTTACGTCATCATTACGTATTTTTTACTTTTCTCTATCAGGTTTATATTGCTTATTATTTATTTTTATTTTTATTTCATTTTAAATTATTTTGTTTACTGTATCAATCTTTCGTTCCGTGTTTTTATGTTGTTGTGTTGTTGTTGTCTTGTCTTGTCTTCTCTTGTTTGTTTGTTTGTTTGTTTGTTTGTTTGTTTGTTTGTTTGTTTGTTTGTTCGTTTGTTTGTTTGTTTTTGTTTGTTAGTTTTATTTTGGTTAGTTTGTCTGTTTTCCCCCAGTCTGGTATAATCTGCAGTTGTTAGGTTTTTACGCCAGCTATTCTTGCCTTTGAGAAAACTGTGGTCAGGGTTGTAACTGTTAATCTTTTGAATCTAATTATCTTTTAAAGTATTATTTTTAAGGCGGTCTTATTTTTTATTGAATTTTGTACCTATTTTTAATATATTTTGTATGTTACATGTACCATTCAAGTTAGGATTGACAGGCTTTCGAGTCACAGTGTTTTATTATACTTTTGTCAATCCTGGCCAGCTTGGATTGGATTGTTTTTGTTTAGTTTTGTTTACTTTTGTGGATTGCTTGTTGTACCTTGTAATTTGACCGAATAAATAATAATAATAATAACTAGAGGAACAACCACACGGTGTTGGGCCATGGATTACCGCAGACTTTGCCACACACATCAACTCAAAATATGCATGTTTAAATCCATGTTTGAATTTTTCAACATGCCGCCAGAGGGCGCTCTAACATTTGATGACGTCACCTGTAAAATTGTTGTACAGTACTGCCTAGGCAGACACTCACATCGCTGAAAGCAAGTTCGCATCTTCTGCCAATTTCAAATAATAAGGCACTTCCGGTTTCGACCGGAAGGAAGGGTCAAGTGATTTTGCACTTAATACCAAAAATGAAGACCCTGCAATAATGTATCGATTGCCATAAAAAACAAATTCAAAGCTGTAGCAGTTGATTTTACATTGATTTTCAAAGATTAAATCTAGAAATCTTTGATTTCTTGTAATATGATACTTGATGACGTCATTGTGACGACATTACCAGAAAGTTCAAGAGCTATTTTAACTGTGCTATATTGAGCCAAATCTTGATTATATCTATCACGGTTGATTTTTTAGCAATTTTTGAAGGTTTAAAGTTTTTTTATTGTAACTTCCGGTCTGAAGACGTAATCAATTTTTTTTCGCGCACAGGTGTTGTCTGCATTATGGTCATCATGTACATTAATTTTGAAGCGATTACCGCAAACTTCGCCACAGACATCAAGTAAAAATGCGTTTTTGACGTTTTTAACCTGCCGCTAGAGGGCGCTCCAACACTTCATGGCGTCACCCATTATTTTTTTTGAAAGGTCAATCCAGGCAGACACTTAAATCGTTAAAAGCAAGTTCATATCTTTTTCCACTTTTAAATTATTAGGCACTTCCGGTTTCGACCGGAAGGAAGGGTCACGTAATTTTACGCGCACAAGATAAAATGAAGATCATGTATTACCATGTCGAATCCCGCAAATTTCAGGTTCTCTCACGGTTGATTTTATATGGAATTTCAAAGATTAAATTTATTAAACTTTCAAGTGACGTCACGTGACCCATGATGACGTCATGATGACGTCGTGATGACGTAATTGCAAAAACCACATCTGCGGTGGATTGGTCATTCATGTATTGACAAATGAAGTTCATATATGTTTCCATTTTTCCAAACAGTTGTGGAGAAGGATTTGCTGAGATTCCCTGAGAATATGCTGAGAAGAACAAACACAGTAACGCGGTATCGTTGAATGATTTATCTTTGATTTCACGATTTCTGTGATAAATTATCGCAGTAACGCGGTATCGCGGAAGGAATTATCTTTGATTTCCTGATTTCTGCGATAAATTATCGCGGTAACGCGGTATCGCGGAAGGCAATTCAAGCTTCCGTACTCAAGGCCAAGGCCCAACACCTAATAATAATCATCACGGCCAGGGGTTAGTGTAAGGAACGGGCATGCGCCCATGGAGTCGAGGCTGAGGAAGTACTTGCTCGAAGGCATGGGGAAGGGCGCCTCCGCACGGCAGGTAGGTGAAAACTAGATTTTCCACACGCACTCAACGTGTAAACTTAGTTATGAAAGCCGCTAAACTGAATATTTTGGGGGTAAAACTGTGGAAGATATGTAACATTTTACAGCAGATTATTCTCTGATTAAATAGCACCATCCCCGTGCCTCGTGAGAAATTGCCAAAAAGTGTCATTTTTTTCTTCTTTAAATGAAAATGTAAATTTCAGTAGTGCTCACCGGTTGAGAGATAAGGGTGGCAAAATGTGAACAATTAATGCATTTTGCATCATGTTTATTACTTAGTGTTTATGGCTCAACCGGATTAATTTCAAAGTAAACAATAAATTGATGAATTAACTAATTAATTAAATTAATTAATTACTTAAACTATTTTTTTCTCAGAAATAATGCATTTTTCAAGTGTACAACGTGTGCAAGTTAAAGCATTTAAAAAATAATATGAACTATTATTATACCTTCAAATTAATTAGTGTTAAATTAATTACTTAAAGTAATTTATTAAATAATTAATGCATTTATTTTTTATTTTTTCCCCAGAAAGTATGCATTTTAAAAGTGCATTATGCATTTTTAAAGTGTACAGGGCTTGAAGTGTAATGGAAAGCATTTAACAAATAATACGAATTATTATATTAATAAATTGTTAAATTAACTAATTCAATTAACTAATTCAATTGTTAATGCATTGATTATTATTATTTTTAGGAAATTTGCATTTTGTTAGAGTGTACAGCGCTTTTAATGTAATGTTAAGAATTTGTTTAAATGATGTGAATTATTATTATAACGTCAAAGCTTGAAAAATCAGTTTATTTACGTCATGAGCAACAGGTTATAAACGTGAACGGGAAATGATCTATTCATATTCAATGATGCAAATAAAATGCTAGTTTGTTCTTCAAGGCCAAAGAATTGAAGCTGGTCTCCATATTTGTACAACTGCAGGAAACCTGTAAACTTATTAAGCAATCGCCGCCAGAGTCCTTATCGTTTACATTGCTCAGCCCCCCCAACCTCGTCCCCAGGGTGTCGAGCAGTACGCGCCCACCACTACCTGCTCTCTCACCCTGGTATTGGATCATTTGCATGTGCAAGATTTTTGAACACGTATGTAAATTAGGAGTAGTCTGGTGCCATGCCTGTGCGTTACATTTGCGTTTGTTTTTTTTTGTATGGGTGTCTGGGTTAAAACAGAACAATTCGTCGCAGCGCGAGCATGGCGTGAGTTACGAAAACATGATTTTATTTTAATTAAACTGTTACGATCTTAACGAGACAACATGCAGTATTACATTTCATATTAATATTAACAAACTGGAAAGGAAATGAATATTTTCGAGAAGGCGTGGACGAATGATCGCGAAAACACGTACTGCACGTTGTGAATAACAACACCAAGTACACGATATAAATCCATTTCTAGCCAATTGCGGTATCGAATCAGGATGCAGGAAGGAAGTTTCCTATCCAGGGTTTACTATTGGAAACAACGTTGGAAATAAAGTAAGCACTGGGGACGAGGTTGCCCCCCCCCTCCGCCCGGCGCCGCGCCGCCTCCGAAAAATATTGAAAAGGCATTGCATGCCAAATCTCAACTATTTTTTTTTCATTGACACTACTTTAATTCCCCTTTTCATTAATTTATTCGTAAATTCATTTTTGTCGTTATTTATTTGTTGATTAATTGTTTCGGTGTATTAAACTTTTTAATTTTTTTCGTCATCCATGAAAATCCGCACTCGCATTTTACACCGGATTCACCTGTTAATTTCCGCTCGTACCCCCCGCCCTGCAAACAGGACGCTGGGATACTCTGATGAGCTTCACAGAATCTTGTGAAGGAAGTTGCCTATGACCTATGTATTAAGCAATTTTTTTTTTATCTCGTGCGCACGACATATATCTCGTGCGCACGACATATATCTCGTGTGTACGACATAATTATCTCGTGCGCACGACATAATATAGGGGGGGGGGGGGGTTACGAGCGAACCTTAGCAGCGCGTTTACCTACCTGCCGTAAGCGGCGCCCTTGCCAGTTGCCAGTGACCGGACCGTAGGTTCTTTATGTCTATGGACCGTGACCGTACTCAAAGCTTACGATGATACTGGCACGTACACCGTACCAGTCACCAGAGGAAGGCTACAACTACAATCTTCGTGAGCTCTAAAAAAGCCGAAGAATTAGAATGGCATTGACATTCAGGTGATTATTTCCTTAAGTTACAGTGTTTTTGATCATGGACGAAGCAGTATTGAGTTAAAGGGAATGTACATCATTGGTTTTTGATGTAATTTTCAGAAATGAACTATTTGAGGGGCTAGTAGATATAGATCAAATATTGTTACACTGACATTTTTGAAGTTTTGTGTTCGAAAAGGTTGGAAAAACCAAGAAAAACAAAAAAATTTAAGTGGTCTGGTTCCCTGACTCCACAAAAGATAAAATGGATCAATTTATAGATGATGGAAAATTGTAAGGCACGGGAACCAGTCTAGCTGGCCTGCACCCGTTCATGAAACATGTAACCAATAGCAAACAAAATTTTGACTGAAAAAATGGTTAATTTGGAGCAGTAGTTGAAAAATAGTTAGGTTTTTCCAACGCTGGTCGGCCGACCACCGTTGGAAATGTATACAAAAATACCATTTTCTTGAAAATGACTTCACACCAGGTGCCATAATTTTACAAGATGCTTGAGACTGCCATTTACCAACATCCTAGTAAGGTATTTCGTAAAAACTTGGTAGTTTTATTTTTCGATGTTTGCAAATGTTGTATATTCCCTTTAAAGTAGAGAGTGAAAAAGATTGGGTAATCCTTGGCCCAGGTTGGACGACGTCTTCATTGCATTATGACTGCATGACGTCCGTGGAAGTCCGAGTAACTTGGACCTAGCCCCACTAGTGTGGCCGTCGGTATGCTGCGCTGAACCTCAGAGGTTCAGCGCAGCATACCGACGGCCACACTAGTGGGGCTAACTTGGACCCAACTTATCGCCTTTTTATTTTAACATTCGGATATTGTCTGGCGATATTGGGGTCCAAGCTAATCCTAGTCCGAGTAACTTAGACCCAACTTATCGCCTTTTTAACATTCGGACATGGTCTGGCTATAGTGTAGCTCTACTGAGTGGAGCGTTGAATTACGGGTACCCGTAGCCCGACTGCGTCTGGCCGTACAGTACTATCGCAAGCTCTGTAGTACGTACTACAGAGCTTGCGATAGTACTGTACGGCCAGACGCAGTGGGGCTACGGGTACCCCTACTCCCAGACAGGGCCCTGGAGTGCTCTGAAATGACTGCGATCATTCTGCGCGCGTGCACGTTTCAAGTGTCAGGTTGGCTCAGTGCGGAAAGGGCATATTTTTCATCTTTTTTGCCGAAAAACCGACAGAATCCACCGATGTTTGTTTGGTGCACATAACGTGAGTATGTCATGAGGTATTGTACGGAGTTTAGGGGCAAACTGTGCAGCGGTTCTGTGGGAAAAAGCTTGGTTGGGATGGACGTTTTTGTACTTCATTAGTGTTTTGTGCTGACAACAATTTTGCGGGGTTCTAACTCTATGAGGCTCCACTACGTGGAGCCTCATAGTTCTAGGAGTAGGGTACCCCTCCATACAAACGCTCCACCGATTTGGGGTTACACCTCTATGTTCCGACACCCCTATGTTCCAACTGCACATATTCCTATTCCTAACCCTAACCCTAACCCTAACCAGTCCTTCATTTTTAAGAAGCGCGATCGTGCAGGCGCTCCTACTGCACTCCTCGACTGTCTCGAAGGAGCGCTAAAAATAGCGCTCCTCAGAAATCCAAAAGAGGGCCCGTCAAACACGGGAAGTTTAAAAATAAGAAGTGATAAAAATGCAAAGGATTTTAAGTCTTAAGCTACACGTATTTTTCGTTGGTATAATGCCCAAACTCACGTTAATATTATAATAATATGCCGCTGGACATCGCTAAAAATGAACGAACACCGAGCTCGGAAAAGATGTAAAAGATCGTGTGTGTACAGCGGTTGTATACTGTGCGTGCACAATCTGCATATCGCATAGAGCTGCATGAAAACACGTGGGCCCGTACGTGGGAGTGCAGCAATGACTGGTTCCCGCTGCGCCGTGCACTAAGTCCCAATAAAGGCATGATGAAAATGCGGTAACCAGTCAATGTAATAGTCGCGCGTGGTGCAATGCACTGCCGTACAGTGTTTTGCGTGCAGGCCGGACGGAATAGACATCGTAAAAATGCCAAGAAAACAACGATTGAGAAGGACGATCTTTGCAAGCTTATTCACAGAACTTGATCTCTCTTGTCTGTGTATGTATTTCCCGTGTTCATGAATTTATTTTGAGGAAGTTTTACTGGTATGTGAAGTGAAACGATGCAGCGTGTTTCACCGAAATCCTATACCGTAAAACGAGTCTCATTGCCGGCCCACCACACAGTGCATCACAAACGCTCGTACTAGTGCGAAGTTCAGACGTTGTTAGCCAGTTTCTCGTCGTGACAAGCATTGTGTATATGGCATACTTGACCTGCATTTTCCATTATTTTTAAGATTATCGACGGCAGATATTTTTGATAAAACTTAAGGCAAGTTTGTATCATTTTGAGGCCCTTTTTGTATAGCTTTCGTAGAGCAATTGAAAAAGTTCAGGCTGAAAATTTCATATAATTTTAACGAATCTGAAAGCAAATATTCAGTTGCTTTATGTGCCGTTTATTAACTCTCCATTTTCCAAGTATAATCAAGTGAACCAACTGACAAGTGTATTAAAAAATGAAAGCCTAAGCAGTAGTCAAACCTTTTATTAATCTCCCTTTAGTTAGTTTTTTAAAACAAATTTTACCTTGTCTTACAGTTACAAAAACGAAAAAAGTAACGCAACTTGAGCATATGTTATTATGCAAAAACTAATAATAATGCAGCCCCTTGAATAAATCCTTATATTCAAAATAAAACAAAAACAATGGTAACCCGTCGTTTTACCGCTGTTTATCCGTAGATTTTAAGGAGAGCGATTTGCTCTCTTCAAATATTTGAGGAGAGCGATTTATAGCTCTCCTGGATTTTCTTTAAATGAAGGACTGCCTAACCCTAACCGGGAGTAACACAATCTAGGTTGTCGGAACATAGGGGTGTCGGAACATAGAGCAGTCACCCGATTTGGCATACTTTGGTGACGGCTTCACAGTAGCATAGTCACATACCCACGCGAGGACAAAAAGACCCCCCAAAAAACCGGTAAAGAAAATACAAATGGGAGAGACAGTTACCCTGGATTGATCTACACATTCATGACCGGGCCCTTGAATACATGTGCAATTTCTCCTTTTCATAATAAGCTGATTTTGTGGGTTTAAAAAAACCCAAAAAAAACATTTTTTATTGCCCATCGGGCTAACTGCTTTTAGGAAACCCTTTTCCTCCGATGTTAGGGTTTTTTTTTAAGTGTTAATTCCAGTCCATGTCCACTTTTTATTTGTGGATATGATTTGTGACAGTTTTTCGGTATTTTTAAATTTTACTTATACATGCAGTTATGATTGGGGTGTTTTTTTTTGGAACATAGGGAGTTTGAGTGCGATTGGCCATTTCCACTCTCCTTTAGGCGCTCCATTATAATAGCCTAGTAAAGTAGTAGCCATCCTTTGCGAGTGTAAGATTTTGTGAGTGTAATTCATTTCCTTGTACAAGTTCCCTAGTTTGACTAGAACTTGAGCATCAAATAAGGCCTTTGAATGTGCAATTTTTTTCTCCTTTTTTAAAAATTTATTTTCTATCTCCAGACGGTAGGGTTTTATGTGTTTATTGCAAGTATTCGGTGCATGTTGAATTTCTCCCTTTTTAATACATGTTCCTCCCACATTGCCATTTTTATAGCTTTGTCCCCCTCCAGATGGTGGAATTTTCCCTTTTTACCTTGCCAGGCCCTTTCAGGGTCCCCCCCCCCTGTTCCTACGCCTGAGTCCTAGGTCCCCCCTTCTTCCTTTTTACAACTGCTACATTGGTGTATGTACATGTATGTGTGCTGAATTTGTCCATGTCTGACGTTTTCTGTGTGATAATGAACAAATGTAGATGTTTTTATTTATAAATAAATGTAATTTCTTAATGTTCTTATTGTATCACTGATGTGAATAACAATAAAGGTATTTCAATATATCCATCAGACCCCTTACATTGTTCCCAAACAGCGAAAATTTTGAAGAAAAACAGCAACATAGTCTGAAAACTTACAGCTCAATGTGTTCGCCGTGAGGCTCAATCCTTGCACTGGTTTGCCGAATGAGGACGTCTGACGTGACGTCACCGTCGTTGCTCGAACGGCTGAAACGTACATGTTCGAAATTTAAAACAAATTAATGACGACAGATACCCACATGAAACTTGTATCAAAGAACTACTAATACTGACAAATGAAAATCCCATTGTTATTAAAATACGTTTCAGCCGTCTCCACCTTGCGTGTGTTCAAAGCCCATACTGTCGTACGGCGCGGATCGGAGCACGTATTATTACACGAAACAGTCGTTGATAAAGCGCGACTTGTTTTTCTTCGATTGAGCAATGACGGTGACGTCACGTCAGACGCCCTCATTCGGCAAACCGGTGCAAGGATTGAGCCTTACGGCGAACACATTGAGCTGTAAGTTTTCAGACTATTTTGCTGTTTTTCTTCAAAATTTTCGCTGTTTGGGAACAATGTAAGGGGTCTGATGGAATGTCATGAATGTGTAGATCAATCCAGGGTAACTGTCTCTCTCATTTGTATTCTCTTTACCGTTTTTTTGGGGGGGTCTTTTTGTCCTCGCGTGGGTATGTGACTATGCTACTGTGAAGCCGTCACCAAAGTATGCTAAATCGGTGGAGCGTTTGTATGGAGGCGTACCCGTAATTCAACGCTCCACTCAGTAGAGCTAGCTATAGTGGGGTCTGAGTAACTTGGACCTAACTTATCGCCTTTTTAACATTCGGACATGGTCTGGCGATAGATATAGTGAGGTCCAAGGTAATGATGTATGCCGAGCAACACAATTCTGTCATTGACCCAAAAACCCAACATTGCCCAACAAAAACATCAGATTTTACCCTCAAAACGGCCTCCAAATTACTAGATATGCCAACTGAGGTACAAGTAGACATCGATAATTAAGATGGTTGTACTGAAGTTTACTTACGATCCGGATGGAAAGTGAAATTTCCCGTTCAATTCCGAGAGCTCCCAATCGTGAACACGAGTAAATTCCGAGAGCTCCCATCGCGATCGTGTACACGTTAAATTTTCGATTCGTGTTAATGTTTATCCCGAGTGCGATTCCGTTACCGAGCGCGCGCGATGCATCGATTATAATAATGAGTAGACTGGATCGCATTAGTAAACACAAGTGCATTTCGAACGGTAAAAGGGAATCGGGAACCAGCTTGAACTGGTATCCGTCCATAAAAGCTGCCCTACATGTAGTTCCTGACCCCCTATTTCCGAGCAACACAATTCTTACAACTAAAGTGGACATCGATAATTAAGATGGTTTATATCATACTGAAATTTACTTACGATCCGGATGAAAAGTGAAATTTCCCGTTCAATTCCGAGAGCTCCCTTCACGATCGTGAGGACCTTAAATTTCCGACTCGTGTTAATGTTTGAACGACGCGATGTGGTCTTCATGCCCAGCGTTCATCTGATGGTTCCCGTATCCCGAGTCATGTGAGTGCGATTCCGTTACCGAGCGCACGCAATGCATCGATTATGATAATGAGTAGACTGGATCACGTTTGTAAACACAAATGCATTTCAAACGATAATAGGGAGTCAGGAACTAGGGCAGCTTTTATGGACGGATACTACTCCTAGAACTATGATGCTCCTCGGAGCGGAGCCTCATAGACAACTTACCCCGCAAAATTGTTTACCTCTACAAAACACCAACTAAGGCCAAAAAAAAGAATAGTTCTGCTTCTGGTTACCCGACCGACCCTATTTTTAGGCTGCGACCCTAAAAAATTTATCGGCAATTCCCCCCCCAAAAAAATTGAATAAATAAAAAAAAAATCTTGTTGTCTTTTCTGTCTTCACAAAATACCTCTCAACAACCCATTTGCATCAAAAAATGCTTGTATTTATTTGTTTTCTTACTTACATTCGCTTTTTATCAAAAGAAACCTGAATCCGCCAAAATCCACCAGAAATTTAGGTGATGGATTTTGAAGACTCTATGCAAAAACATGCTGTATTTTTTTTATGCCACCATGGTATCCTGAAATGCCAGAATCCATCAAGACTTTTGCTGGTGGACTTTGGCGGATTCAGGATACCTCCAGTATCTACGCTGGGGGATTCTGATGGACTCAGGATACCAGCATTTTCTTGCATGACAAAATTGGTGGATTTTGGCAGATTCAGGATACTTTCTAGTAAAAGAGCCCCAGGAGTTAGGGTTAAAGTAAGCAATCAATCGACTACACCTGTAGGATGGTTGGTTACATATGTTCATTATAAATTATCTCACTCAGCCTCAGTGAATATAATTGCAAGAAGTCCCACCGCCTTCCAATCTATCGGTACTTAGCAAAAGTAGAAAATAAGCAGGAGTGCAGGACAAGTTCTTTTTAGAACTAAGCAGGACTGTTCTTATCAGAACTAAATCTACTAAGCAGTTATTACCACTTGGTGTTACCGCAAACCGAAACTATACTCCACTATGCAAAGCCTAAAGTCTCACATTACGAATCACTTTGACCATTTTGATATTTCAGGAGTGTGAACTGCAGCCAGCTATTGCTGAGGCGTCTTACACCTTGCATGACAAAACGGTAAATACATGGCCTATACAACTATTGGCCTTTTTCAAATTTTGTTTGTAAGCCAGGCGTGTAAGCCAGGCATGTAAGCCAGGCATGTAAGCCAGGCATGTAAGCCAGGCATGTAAGCCAGGCATGTAAGCCAGGCATGTAAGCCAGATGTATACAAGACAAAATACTTTATTTATGGAGCAGTCATGAAGCATGTTTGATACTTGGCAGAAACAATGAAGCAGAAAGTATTGAAATTGAAACGACTACCAGTATTTCATATTTGTGTTGTGCTTTAATGGGAGACATATATTTGTGCAAAGGTACAGCATACATGTACATTATGACGGGGATTGATTATTTCAAACTTTTAATGCAAGTTGACAAATGATGATCTCATGAAGTATTTTTGGTATACCTCTTTAGACTTGATGTACATTATCATTTGAAATAGTCTTGTTAGTGGTTTAAAACAATTTGTTTGATATCTGGATTCCCATGATCGGTATGTGAAAGAAATATTTGGAAAGAATTTTATTGAATTGTGTTTCTGTTGTCTGCGAGTTCAGTTTTTGTATCATGTTTTGACTTTTGTTTCCATTTCTCCCCAGTGTTACTGCCACTGTCAGCACATGGAAAGATGAGCAAAACAAGTTCTTGGAAAAAAATGCGACTTTAAAACGTCCCATGTCGCCACACATCACAATTTACAGGTAAAATGATTATGTTGACCTGTAGTGAAGGCAGTGGCTATAGATATTGTTTCCTGGATGACTAAAATGTGTTGTTCACTTTTGTTGGATGACCTTGGAACTTACTTATCGAGACAAGCAATTAAAAGGGAAAAAAGCAACATTTTGTATTCACCATTTCTCATATTTTTAGTGTTTGTGCCCTCACAGCTGATCTCTTTATGTGCCTAAACTACAACATGGAAACCAGCAAATAAGTAACTCTGCCAATGGGTTATGTTTACTATTGTTTGTTTGTTGGTCTTTCTGTTGTGAGGATATCTCAAAGAGATATGAAGAGATTTCATGGAATGTTGTGCAAAGCTTGCTTATGTACCGTATGCTCCAGGAAACAATAATCTCCTTACTGGATTTGTATAAAAAAACAACAATAAAATTAAAAACAAATGATGATGATGATGATCAAACCTGGCATGAACTTGAACCTCGGCCCGAAGATGTGCAAAAGTCTGTGATGTCATCGTGATGTCATCAGGTATCAAATTACGAACGATTTAAGGTCACAGGTTGAATAATTACTTCGGACTTTAGGCTAACTTTTCAAATGAATGAATGGAGTACCATTCTCATTGTTTGCAATCAGTTAGACATTGTCTCAGGCAATAATATGACAGGCAATAATTTGTATACCTGGGCACAAAGCTGTTTGACCTTTACTTCCAGTGCTGGTGTTACTTGTAGGCATGCTGAAGCGCTCTAGGGGGCTGGTCATGAATGATGCAACGGACGTACGATTCTCACTGATGATTACAGGCATTTATTGATCTTGAATCACCGTGAAAACTGAAAGAAGATAGATACAGATATAGAGTTCAATGAGCACCAATTAATTAGAGAATTACAATGAAATCAATTGACTATATAAACAACCACTCGTATGAAATGAATAAATGTGAGCGCATATACTCTCTTAACCAGTACGACGTGTCTGCGCTCTAACAAAATACTGAGATAGGCATTAATATAAAGTAGCTAATATCAAGTGATTGAAATAGCAAATATCATACCGTTAACGCCTTCAGACCAGCTTAACTACATGTATATGAGGCCGTGGTAAATTGGCAGGAGACTCTCTGTGGCCCAAGCTGAATGAGAATACAAATAACAAAACTCTTAAATGTCCTAGATCTATTGCTAGCGATTATGTAACACTCTTATGTAGGATTATGAAGTGAAAGTGAAAGTAACGTACACGAACACGCATCTTATAGAATGCTCAGTGTGCGCATCGTAAAACAACCTGCGCGCATATTTGGAGGCAAGCCCGCGCGCGCATGCTTAAAGGTAAGCCCGCGCGCACTCAACCTGTCACTTACACTCACACCAATTACTCATATGATTTATAATTCAGAATACTCATACACTAACAGTGAGAATAAATCATTAGTAATTAAATGCTATTTAACAACTGCAGTAACAATTAGCAACCAAAGGCTACAAACATCGAACTGTGATAAAACAAGTCAGGTGCTCTCTAAGAGGAGTACCAGCTTCTGCACTGGGCGCTCCAGAAAGGCTAGCTTGTCTTCGCGCTTGCCTTGCTGACTCAGCTTCTTTGTTCCAACTTGGACCTGGACTTTCCTCACTAGGCCATCCTTGGCAGCGGTAGTCTTAACCCCATGGGCCCGGGAAGCGGTCATGGCCGCGGCCGCTAATCCTCATTGGAATGCAGTTGCCAGCTGTGGTATGCCGTGGCACACAGCTAGTGGGTAGTTCCACAGCTGCTGCTTTTGTGCAGTCCCGCTACCACACAAAGGCTGTGCAGTCATGTGGGCCACTTGCTCTATGTGTGGAGGAACGTCCCCATTATAACCCGTGCTTAAGGGGTTAACTACGACACCCAAAGGCCACTTGTTCAGAGCCACGTCTGGTTCCAATAAGAGGACGATGTCTCCAACCTTGATGTTTCTTCTAAGTTTGGTCCAACACTGCCTCCGATTAAGGTTCTGGAGATACTCTTTGCACCATCTACTCCAAAACTGCTCAGTGAGGTATTGTATTCTTCTCCATCTCTTCCTGAGGTACATATCCTGCGGTACAAATTTACCTGGAGGTGGCAGTGGCACGCTAGACTTCATGGTGAGGATGTGGTTTGGCCTCAGGGGTTCAAAACTCATTGGATCATTGATTGTCTCGACTGATAGGGGACGGCTGTTTACAATGACCATGGCTTCATAGAACAGAGTGCGGAGCGATGAATCATCCAGCCTCCCAGGACAAAGTGCAACTACTCCACTAAGGACACTTCTTATGGTCCTTATCTGACGTTCCCACACTCCTCCAATGTGGCTGGCACAGGGAACATTCATTAGAAAGCAGCAGTCCTGCTCTGCCAAGTAGGATGTAATTCTTTCAACATTTAGCTCCTTCAGGGCTGCCTTGAGTTTATTCTTGGCGCCAACAAAGTTGCTGCCTTGGTCCGACCTGATTTGGCGAACTTTTCCTCGGATGGCAATGAAGCATCGCAGCCCGTTGATAAATGCGTCACTGGAGAGATCATCTATCATCTCAACACGAACTGCCCTGGAACTTAAGCAAGTGAACAACAGCCCGTACCTCTTGAACTCCTTTCAACCTTGCTTGGTGATGAAGGGACCAAAACAATCCATGCCACAATATGAGAATGGTGGTGATGACCCAACACGATCTTCAGGAAGATCTGCCATCTTCTGCTCTTGGGTGGGTCGCCTGTTTCTTCTACAGATTACGCACTTGGGAATGAGATCGGCAACCAACCTCCCACCATTGATGATCCAAAACCCATTTGCTCTTATTTCGTTCAAGGTAATGCCACGACCTTGATGGTGGACCTTTTGATGGTAGTGAGCGGCGATGAGTCTGGAAACGTGGCTATCTTTGGACAGTATTGCCGGGTGTTTGACGGAGAGCGGAAGTGATGAGTTTCTTAGGCGACCTCCCACACGCAGAACTCCGAAGTCATCGGTGAAGGGATCAAGATCATAACAGGGTGGTTTGTCCATGAAATCATGCTTCTGAACCGACTTAAGCAGGAACATGGCTGAATCTTGTCGGTCTTGGACACTGGCGATACTACAATCAGTATCTCCTCTAGCTCACCTTCGAAGCCTGGAGACAGCTCGAACTAGAACAGGCCAGCTTGAGAATTTGGTCAGCCTAGACAGGATGCGGGAATCTGTTGTCTCCTTGACTGTTGTGCACAAGACTGTCGTCGACTTCTTGACCTCTGGATCTTCCAAAGATAATTTAGGTGTTGTCTTCGAGGGGCACACGAAATCAGGACTCCACAGAAAGTCGGGACCTGTGTACCAGTTAGATTGGCGAAGAGCCGATGCTGTGAGACCTCTTGAATTGTGATCAGCGGGATTAGAGCTAGACTCAACGTAGAACCACTGATCAGGATCTGTACCCTCTCTGATAATCTGCACTCGGTTGGCCACGAACGTATGGAAGCGCCTTGCCTCATTGTGGATGTAACCTAGGACTACTTGAGAATCAGTCCAGAAGACTTCTTTCACATCCGAAAGATGAAGCTCTTCCTTAACAACTTTACTGATCTTAACAGACACTACAGCAGCGGTTAACTCTAGGCGGGGAATTGTCGTGAGCTTAGTTGGGGCCACTCTAGATTTACCCATAAGAAGCACACAATGTACCCTGTTTTGCTGATCCTGGATTCTGAGATAGGAACATTGGCCATAGCCCAAAGTGCTGCCGTCTGAGAAATGGTGCAGCTGTATGGACCTGACTACCCCGAGTGGACTCGGCTTCAGGCAGCGTGGAATCCTAATTGCTGCTATGTTGGGAAGGTCCGCCATCCACTTCTCCCACCGTGGTCCTATCTCGGCTGGCAGAGGATCATCCCATCCAATGCCGTTGCGACACATATGCTGAAGCATCACTTTACCAGTGAGGACGAATGGAGCTAGAAATCCCAAGGGGTCATAGACCGATGCAACCATAGACAAAATCCCTCTACGAGTCACAGTTGCTCCTTTGGTTTCAATTCTGAAGAACAATTCATCCTTCTCTACATCCCACTGTACTCCAAGATTAGAGGATAGAGGCAGGTCATCTTTGTTGAGGTCAACTTCCTTGACAGAGGCAGCCCGTTCTTTGGAAGGGACAGATTCCAAAACCTGTATACTATTCGAGATGAACTTGTGGAGGTGTATACCACCTCTACTACACAAGTCTCTGGCTTCTTGGATGATGTGCATTGCCTCTAGAAATGGTGTCTGATGAACTTGGCTGCAGACGGAAGCTCTCTTTCGTACTTCTTGGACAGAAACTTAAGACCATAGTTGGCACAGCCTGGGGACGAAGTGGCTCCAAATAAGTGGACTTTCATTCTGTACTCTGTTGGTTCCTGAGCGAGGTCCCCATCCTTCCACCACAGAAAATGCAAATAATCTCGGTCTTCCGGCCTGACCATGAACTGATGGAACATCCTTTCTATGTCGCAGACTATGGCTACAGGATGACTCCTAAAGCGACTCAATACTCCCACCAGGGCATTCGTCAGATCGGGGCCACTTAGAAGATGGTCATTCAGGGCAGTATCTTGCTACTTACTGGAACAGTCGAACACAACTCTAATCTTTGTAAATGAATTCTCTACTAACACAGCCAATTACTTACGTAGTTTCGTTTACGTTTCGACTAGTTTCACTAGTCGTCCTCAGAACGAAGCACCACCAGTCAGTTGGTTGCGCTGTTTCCTGCTGCAGCCACTAGATGGTGGTCTGGCCGCTTGTGTCCTCCCCCGGGGTGGTACTTGGGGTATGAGGGGGTGCCATATGTGTGACAGTTCATACCCTCCCTCATCTCTGTTTAAAGTTGATCGTCGTCTCCTTATCCATAGACTTTCCCGTATCCAACGTCTGTATTTGTCGCCCTCCCTGTGTAGGATTTGACTATCTGCCCAATTCATCACATGATTGTTGTCTCTAGCGTGTTCTGTTATGGCCGATTTTGTCTCT